TCGTTCTAGGGGGCATCGTGGGAGGCTTGGTCTGCGTCGGGAACGATGGGAGCGGGGTTGGCGGCGGAGTGGGAGGAAAGGTGGGAGGAATGGTCAGGCGCGGGGTTGGCGGCGGGGTGGGTGGCACGGTTGGCCGCGGGGTTGGCGGCGGAGTGGGAGGCTTCGTTGGTTTGGGGTTCTTTGGTCGCCTTGTGGGCCTGCGGGTCTTTGGTTGCTTTGTTGGTTTGGGGGTCTTTGGTGGCTTTGTTTTCTTTGGCCTCTTGGTGGGGGGCTCTACCGGAGGACTCGTTCTAGGGGGCATCGTGGGAGGCTTGGTCTGCGTCGGGAACGATGGAAGCGGGGTTGGCCGCGGAGTTGGCCGCGGGGTGGGAGGCCCGGTGGGAGGCCGGGTTGGCCGCGGGGTTGGCGGCGGAGTGGGAGGCCGGGTGGGGAGCGGAGTGGGAGGATAGGTTGGCGGCCGGGTGGGGAGCGGGGTTGGTGGCGGAGTCGGAGCCAAGGTGGGCGGCGTCGTCGGCTTCGATTTCTTGGTGTCCTTGCCACCGCTCTTGTCCTTGTGCGGCGGCGGCGTCGGCTTCGGGTTCTTGTTCGGGCGCTTGTTTGGGCGCTTGTTCGGACGCTTGTTGGGACGCTTGTTTGGACGCTTGTTTGGACGCTTGTTTGGACGCTTGTTGGGACGCTTGTTCGGGCGCTTGTTCGGGCGCTTGTTCCTTCTCGCCAGGGCATCCGGCGAAAGGAGCAAGAAAACCACGATGGCGAGCGAGAGTCCTGCTTTCATGGTGTCTTCGTGTACGGTGCTTTTGTTGTTGTGTTTGGATAAGTTGATTGGTTAGTCGATTGGTCAACTAGTTATGCATGAATGTATGTATGCATCACATTTCTGTGTGCGAACGAAAATGTGAGAGCAGCACAGTAGAGGAGGAAGCGAGGTTTATTCTCGCGCTCTCTGTGTATCTCTTTCCCAGGTGGCGATCGCGTGTTTGTTTGTGTGTGTTTTTGGTTTCCAGTTACGTCTTGGTTTGCATTTCAAAAGAATATCTCTATATATTGATTCCTAACGTCACCATGTCATATATGTTAGATATAATCCTATCGATAGTACGAGAGCAATAGAAGGTGTGAATTTGGGTRATTTATGCTTATTACGATAGGCGTCGAAGAGAATTCTTTGGAAACCAGTCGCGCTTCAAGTATGCAATTATCCKTCCAAGCCGAATAGAGCGGCCGGATAGAAACATATATGTGATTCGAAAACCTCGCCAACATTTATGACGAATCTATGCAAGCAAGCACTTAAATGATACGCGGGCATATCAAGTTTGCAGACCGTACGGTTCTGTAATGCGCTAGTACATGCTCGTATCCTTTGCTCCGACGAAAGGATGGAGTCTCATCCGTCTGCGCTTTTTGGAACAAACTTCACCAGACTTCTTCTCTCCATTTTGTCACGATATTAATATTTCTGCGAAAAATGCATAGTGTCATCGAAGTAAGGCAGGAACCTCGTAATTGCCAACTRCGTCTCGATAGTTACGGAACGTCGAAGTTCTCGAAGGGCACTTGAACCTTGCGGTAGGTAGCGTTGGTTTGTAAGCACGTTTCTATTTCTAACGGTACTATAACTGCTCTTGTATTACGAATAGTAGTACAAGTAGGTATTTAAAATTTAAAAAAGCACATGGTCTAAATAATTGTAGAAGTATGTCACAGTGATTGGGGTTTCCAAGTAGTGCTATCGAACAACACTTCCAAGAACAAGTGCTAGTACAAGTTGAATCACAATCACACTTTTACTATCATGATAATAATACTAGTTTTACTATCATCGTATCAAGAGCAGCAGCATTATGGACTACATTGAACCCAGGAGTGCAACTATCACTCCTCCCCGCCGCCGAGAGGAACAACAAGAACATCCTAGCAGGGTAGTTCCATTACCGGAATTGTTGTTCGACCCGCCAATCGTAGTACAAGATTGGGGACTTAGAGAACACGCAAGTAAAATCAAGCTTTTGTTTATGGTGTTTCCGCGCGCTGCATTCCTAAGTGCAAGTTCTACTATCGACAGAACAACCAATAGTATCATTATATATGTTCGTCTGCAACACCGAAACGATTCATAATTACAGCAATCCAATTGGTATGTATGCATTTCAAAACTTTTAAAAAATCCTAATTACTGCTTGAAATAGAACAATACATCGTTTCCAAGGAAGGTCCTTCCTCTTTTCCGTGCGTTTGTCGTCGTGTCACTCGCTTGGTTCTGTCACCGTAGTCGTACTACCTACTGTTGTTCCCGGCGTCCCAGCCCGTTTCGTGTACGCTGGCGCGTGCACCGCACAGCACCGCACGGCAACGCAACGCACTGCGCGTCGCTCACTCCGACTTCTCGCGGGCGCCGAAAAACGAGGGGTCCGCGTAGGCCTTCGCGGCGACCTGGCCYTCCGTCAGCTCCCAGAGCTTCTTCCACTGGGCCTCGTCGTTGGAGCAGCCGTTCTTGCCCTCGGTKTCCTTCGCGTAGCAGTTGGAGAGGTACTCCCCCCCCTCCAGGCCCTCGTCGAGGCAGGCCATCTTGATCACCTGGGCGCCGGTCCTCGGCGTCCGCATGGTGGCCCAGAGGAGCGGGTAGAGCAGGGGACGGTTGGTTGCGCCCAGGATTCCCGTCCAMACGGCCCCCGGCGTGAGGGCAAAGCACCTGACGTCGGGGCCGCCTTCCTTCTTGCTTCCCTCGTTGAGGCACTCCCGGACGCGCTTCTGGTACTCCCTCGCGTGCAGTATGTTGGCGAGCTTGGACTGGGCGTAGACCCTCATYCCCGACGCCGCAAAGGACGGGTGGAAGGGGTCCTCCCAGTCGATGGAGGCCCTCTTGTGCGCCCCCGAGGAGACCCAGACGGCGCGGGGGGAGTGGCGAGCCGGGTCCTTTCTCGCGGCTTGCACCAGCAGCGGCATGAGCTCGTTGGCAAAGACAAAGGGGCCGACGTGGTTGGTCATCCAGACCCTGGCGGCGTCGGCGTCGCGCTCGGCCTCTGGCTTGGCTTGKGGGGATCCTCCGGTCCCGCCGCCGCTGATCCCGGCGTTGAGGACCAAAAAGTCGATCCCCCCCCCTCCGCACTTGGCCCTTAGCTCGGCAGCGCAGGCCCTCACCGAGTCCTCGGACAGGAAATCGCACAGGACGTAARAGGCCCTGCYTTCCGTTTCGGTGTCGCAAGCCTTCCCCTGCAGCCCCTCCACCGCGGCCCTTCCCTTTTCGGCGGTCCGGACCGTCACCACCACCGTGGCGCCCAGCTCGTAGAGGAGCTCCGCCGCGGCAAAGCCCAGGCCCCCCACCGTTCCGCCGGTCACCACCGCGGTCGTGCCGGTGAGGTCCTTGTCCCCGCGGTAGCTTCGGTCCACCCAGTAGTCCTGGATCCAGGCCCGCAGGTAGCCGGCCGTTCCGGCCAGGGAGGACAAGAGGGCGAGGGCTGCCCTCGCCGGGGGGGGCAGCCCGGGGGAGAGCCCTTCCACCAGCTTGTGGGAGGCAAATCCGGCCGCCGCGCCGGTGGCGACGGCCTTGGCCATCAGGGACACCATCAGCCCCATGCTTGTTTGCGATTGGTGTTGTGTTGTGTTGGGTGTTTGTGTTTGTGTTTTGTTTTCCTTTGCCTTGGATTGGATTGGATTAGTGGCTTTGGATGCKGTTTCGAATAGCTGCGGTAGTTAGGGATCCTCAACTTGCGATGCAGAGGCACAGGTTTTCATTCCCTTTCGATGATGCTTCGATGTCGTTCGGAATGTTAGGAGGATGTCCTTTAGACGTGAACGAACAGAATCGAAGATCCAAACAGAACACCGAAAAACGAAAAACAGAAGGGAACAGACGTGACAGACATCGCCGTCACCGTCACACGGGACGGACACCATCTGGGTTCGTGTGCCAAAGATTTTTTTGGCTGTCGATGATACGGTACGGCAGGCAGACTGTGGATTCAGATGCACAGCGCTACCAACACGGTCTTCGGTGGTACGAGACTACCGAACGAATCTCCGCTTGTTTCATTCGGGGTGCATACGGTACGTACTGCGTTCGGAACGATACGGGARCGGGCACATGAAACATACGAAATAGACTACCACATTTAGAGTATCTGAACGTACGTACGGTACGTACCGTACAACCCTTCCAGAACCGAACGAATCGAAATCTGTCACACAATCTGCCCGTCGTCGCTGACGCATACTAGATACGAWACACTAGGTACGAGTACCGTACGTACTTCACAAAGTAAGTGTAAGAACTAAGAACGACTCTTTGTTCCCATTTTTTTAGKACCGGTAGCTACTAGTAATGGCATTGAATAATGAGAGGTACGAAGTACTACTTTTAATTTATTGTATCATAATAAAAATGAGTATTGACATGACATTGATCATTCTACCTATGGCTGGAGAGCGAATGAGTGCATCGATGCTATGCATACCTGGTCCGGGTTATTGCCCCCCGTTTTCACAGCGAGAATGTATTTCTTTGCATTCCCGTGCGAGGCACAGCGCCTAGGAGTTCTACTCTTCGGCTTTTTTCAAGATGAGACACGTAAAGTAGTAGCAAAGAGGATACGATTCTTATCATTTTTGTTGAGAAGGATACTACTGCTACGAGCCTTGGCCATGCCGTACTGGTTCGGGTCTTTTTGTATATGCATTTGTATTTGTATTTGTATTTGTATTTGTTTTGGTTTTAGTTTGCTTTCTTTGGTTGTGTTTTGTTTCGTTCTGTTTTCTTTGGTTTTGCGATACAGCGAGCCGGCACGGATTGCCGGGTTGGATCGAAGACCGTGCCTAGTAGCGACCACGGCTGTCGCCACCATAGCTTCCCTGACCTCCGCGGTAGTTTCCTCGTTGCTGCTGCTGGCCACCCCGCGGCCGTCCTCCGCGGCGCCCGCGGTTGTACCCACCGCCGCCGCCGCCGCCTTCTTCCCTGCCGTGCGATTCCCTCCCATCGCCGCGGTAGTGGTCCCTCCCCCGGCGCTGCTGCTGCTGTTGTTGTTGTTGCTGCTGCTGCTGCCCGTCGCCCTCGTCGCCGTCTCGGTCTCTCGAACGCTTCGTCCCGCGGCTGMCTTCCTGGTCCTGGGAGTAGCGGTGGCCCCCCCGGCCCCTTCCGCCACGGCCCCGCCCGTAAGATCCCCCATCGGCGTTCCGGTCCTGGTGGAAACCGCCGTTTCGGGAGGAGCCCCCGCGGGACGAAAASCGATCGCCGCCGCCGCCGTAGTCCTGGCCGTGGTGTTGGTTGGGATTGTTGTTGTTGTTGTTGCTGTTGTTCGATGGGTAGTTGGCCCTGGCGCTGACGACCGCTCCGTTTGCCGGGCCCATGGCGTACCCTACGGGCGGCCCCCGCCGGCGGTGGAACCGCATGTGGGACGCCGGCTGGGGTGCCGGAGCCGGGGGGGACTTTGGCAGCTTTCCGCCCGTACTAGCCGGTGGAGCACTCCCAGCCTGYGGGGCGGCCCCGGCACCCGCCTCCCCGCTCGGTTGGTTCGCGTCGGGCTTGGAGGAGGGTTGTCGCTCCCCGCCGACGGCGGCCTCCTTCGGTGGTCCCGCGTCCGCGCCGGTCTCGTCTCCGCGGGCCCCGCTCGAGGCCGAAGACTCCACCGCCGCGGCACCGGGGGTCTCTCCCTTGGCCTTGGCTGGATCGCCCTCCTCGCCGTGTTTTGTGTCCACGGCAAAGACGTCTCCGCCAAAGTCGTCGTCTCCGCCGAAGGGATCCTCGTCGGATTTCTTGCTCTTCGAGAGAGACGTGCGTTTCGAGACGAGCACGCCCTTTTCGGCTCCCTCGCCATCCAGGACGTTCTTCTCGCTGGACTGGGGTGTTGTCTCCTCGGTGTTGTTTTCGGCTTCCTCCACCTGCATCTGCTCGATCTCGTCCACCTTTTCCATCACGCCCTTGAGGAACATGTCTGCGGCCTTCCGCAAACCAACGTTGGGGATAAGGTCATCGGGGCTCACTCCRTCCATGCCAGTCAGGGGACAACGAAAACCATTTTGCGTCAACGCATCACGAATACAAGATTCACAGACGGTCCTCCCTTCGGAGTCCCAGGGTAATAACATGGCATTTTTAACGATTGAGTTACATATAGCGCATTGCAAGTGCTCCGGTACGGTCGTTGACGTGAGTTTCAAGACGTAGTCTAAATCTCTTCTCGTTCCAGCCGTGCTTTCGCTCTGGCCTCCTCCACGACTGACCAGTTCTTTGAAGCCCTGCTTGTTGGGCTGCAAGAGAGGCGCCTGCTGTTCGCCGTCCGCGCCCTCCTTGTTGCCGTCGGTTTGTGGAGGAGCCGAGAGATTCAGGAAGGTTCGGGGAATTCCGGTGGCGCGCTTCTTGGGTTGGAGCTTCTTTTCCTGCTCCCGCAGTTCAGGATCGGCGTTGGGTCGGAAGTGACTGCTGCCTCCTGGTTTGCTTGCGTTGCTGCCGGCAATGCTCTGGTGGAAACCGGGTTTTGTTGGCGGTCCCCCCATACCCGCAGGACGCGGTGGTCCCCCGCGGCCTCCCCGGACGGCTCCCATCGCGGCGGCTTGCCCTCCCACCATGGTAGGGCCCTCCGCTTGCATCGACGTGACCGCTTGMAGGGCGGCCAGCTCCTTCTCCGCGCCACTGGAGCTCTCCACGAATTCGTCTTCTTCGTTTTCCCGGGTTTGGTTGTCGATGGTGTAGTACCCGCTAGGGTGTTGCTGCTGCTGATAGCTGTTGCCCATTCCCCCTCCGTGTTCGTTGCGGGCCATGCGAGCCAGAAAGCCCTGTCCCCGACCTGCGGGAAGCCGCTGTACAATGATTCTTGTGCCTCTCGGCAAGAGCATGCTTTCGTCCCCGTACTCTTCGTTGGTATCCGCATTCCGAACCGCCAGATCGAATTCCATGGTTCCGGTGTCGAGTTTATTTGCCTTGACAATTGCCTTTTTGACATCAAAGAGTCTAGCAGCAGCGCCGGGCAGAGGCAACGCCTCAAAGGTCGAGGACGCTCGAAATTTGTACAAAATAGTAGACGACATTATCGTTCTTCTCTACTTATAAGTATTGTGTTTATTCCTACAAAGATACTTTTGCGGATATCGTATTCGTCGGCAAGTTCTTCGTATCTTTTTTGTTCAGAACAAAAGGAATCGATGGCCATAGAGTGCTTGTTGACCAGTCCTAAATTGCTTCCTGGAAATCTTGTCCTGGAAAATAAAACCTAGCAGTTGGATACACTCGATCTCGTTGCTGTCGGAAGATGGTGCCCCCGATGTTGCGAATTGGCGTTGTTTTGCTCTGTGTTTCTTTCCTTTGATCGAATGGCTCAATCCACTGCGATGCGGTTTCGAAATGAACTGAAACCAATCCAGTGCTCTCTCACAAAAACTCCGGCGTCAGTCCTTGGATCTAATCCACACTTTGGTGAATCGAAATCCTTTCTAAATTTGTTGCTGTTGCTTTTGACGTGATATTATCTCACTCTGTGCGGTAACACCCGAATCAACGGAAAACCAACTTTTTCTTTCCTTGTCGATTCCCTAGGTTTCTCGAATGAGAGCAAGTTTGCTTCTGATTTATCGTTTTGGTCGGAAACTATTATCTATTCTGGAAGGYTATGATGAGAGTGTCAACATAAAGTCTAACGGTGTGACTCGAGGTACTGGTGCAGTATTGTTTCACTGATTATCTGGGCACTTCGAGTAATCGTACCGTACGTTACTGATGCTGCAATATTTTGGTTGTACCGTTACTCATCGAGTACAACAGCTATCGTATCGCTCCACGGTAGTATTCGGTAAAACGCACGAGACCGATCAACAACCAATCATAATTGCTCCATTTTTTGGAAACGAAGATCGCATCAGACTTCATCACGAATCAGAACGAGACTCTTCGTAGATCGTAGGGGAGAAGATCTGGCCGTCATCCGATTCCAAATTTTCCTGCCGCTTTCTGTTTAGTTCGAGTGTCATSTTCGAATATCTAATCTGTATTGAGATTTTTAGTGAATAACTAGGAGTAGATTACGTAACGGTGCCTACCGTACGCTGGGGTCACTCGTTTGACTACGAAAGTACGAGTGTGTACGGGATTGTTTCGTTATTCCCGTCACGGCATTGAATTCTATTTAGGGTTGAGGGGAAGCTGACATTCGTCTCAAGTTAGATTTTGGTGGCTTGTTCRAAAAGAACGAGTACGACTTTWGTGTCGCATAACTACTTCGTACGTGTTTACAATAAAGAGTGAGTTTATTCACTATCTATTCGGGATTRAKCCTCACAGTAACAGTGGTGTACCCAAAGTACGTACTTTGTACTGATAATAAACGTACTAGTAGTAGTACGAGTACCTCTTCTGATTGAATTTGAAACGAAGCACTAATGGAAGTACAAAATCTACAAATCGGTTGTAATATATATGAACTAGTAGTATCATAGTTGTTGTCTTCCATTATACATAATGCCAACTGGTGATTCTAATTTTTTAATACAAGTAGTACTACTTCTACGAGTACTATTAAAAAAGCAGGAATTTGCTACAAGGATTGCAAAGACTAGCGTGTCACTCGCCATCATGTTGTTGCGCCTCTCCCGATTAAGTTTCTGCTGTTTTCAAAGCGTCTTTAACCGAGATATTGTGTGATCACGGAGCGCCTTGCCTCTTCGATACTTTCAAACCCATTTACTTCCATGGTAGCTCGGAGAAAGGAGTGGATCTCGAACGTATTGTTTGTTGAATCGACTTTTTTCATGGGTGACGGCACCTTATTAATGAAAAGCATGCCGACTTCTTGGACACATCTCTTTGTCCTTCCTTGCGTAGATATTTCTTCCCAGAGCGCATGGTCTACCAACGGAACACTCGCTTTTGGTGCATTCCGAAAGCGGCGCCTCCCCTTCGATGACGGGACCACAAACCTCACTCCTAGGGAATTGTGCAGCTCGGGGAAAATGCGATGCATGGAAGATGCCGACAGGTTCGCAAGAGGGAGATCCGTCCAGAGCTTACGAGAGAGGGCGACTTTCTTCAGCTTTTTCTTTGGCTGGATGCCAAAACCGCTATAAARCTCTGCTAGGTCGTCCCCGCTAACGCTCGAGCCTAGCCTTTCGTGAATCTGGAGACGTTCCGTTTCTTCCATTCGACGGGCGTTGTCGAACTTTGACGCGATGGATTTGTCGCCGAGGATCTTGTTGGTGCATTCCTTGTATCGGGGGMACGTGTCGTTGCCGAATCCAACAGCACTGCGAAACAGGAGTTTCGTGTTGGTGCGGCTAKGGCCGTTCGAACGATTGGAGACGCCGGCAATATCCCAGAGTCGCAGCAGCTCTGACTCGGCCACTCGGAGGCCTACAAAGGTACGACAGCCCGATATYTCGGGCCACAGCCTTGTTCGAAAGAAAAGAGAAACGTGCAATCGGGCCCAMAGGACAAAAATCTGGTTCGCGTAGGCATCCATRCACTCCTTCATCGCGGYCCTCGTTCTCGACCGAACCAGCACGCCCCTCGCTCGGCTCTGAACGAGTGCAATCATCCGCCTCAGTTCTCGGTAAATCACTYTYRTTCGCCTTCCCCGAACGCATTTGGCAACCGCGATCGCGCTGCATCTCATCCGATCGAACCTCCGMCGTCCGCTCCGGGCTCGCTGGTGGCTTTGAAAAAGAACGATTGCCCGAATCGTGCGCTCGGCTTTCCTCCGAACGACAAACATGCGGACGACGCTCTGGATCATGGTTGCCCGGGTCTTGCGCACGTGGTAGTGCCTGTAGGCAAGCTTTCTRTCGAGCGACTCGTCCTGTTCCCATTCGACACCTTCGTGGTGGTACCGCCGYACCAAGTATCCGCGACAAAGTGCCTGGAAAGCGACGATCACGTCCAGCAGAATGGCTTGTTTCCTCCTGGCATCCATCATGATCGTGTCTGCGGTGGAAAGRGTCTTGACGCGTCCACGGGAAGGGGTTCGTTTCGTTTTTCGTTCCGCACCCCTCCCGATCGTCTCCTTTGCCTCGCTTCCGGTGGGATCCATCGACAGGGCCACRAGGGTGGATTCCAGGTCCTTTGCCGTGCGCCTTGCTGCTGCCGCTACGGCTTTGGGTGAGGCAAGCACGGGTTTCATCGCCCTCGTTACGAGCTCGCTCTGTTTCTTCCTCCTTTTGAGGTCCGACTTTTTGGAATACCGAACCGAATCGAGGTTGGTGTGCTGGGGCCACTTGGGCGGGGGACGAATKCGACCGAAGCGCGTCTTGTCCAGGACCGGAAACGTTTCGTACCGGTACGTGGCTTCCGTGTCGGGWATGCCAAAGTTGTTCGGTGGGGGGGATGCGTAGACCTCCCTGATTTTCCAGGACGTCTTGTCGTCCAGGAAGGGCGTGGGCTGYTTTCCCTTCATGGCCAGGCTTGCCTTTTTCGACCTGTTGCGTTTCGCGGCGATGGACTCGTCGAAGAAACGAATCTCCGGCAGGTTGGGGTTCTCCCTCCGTTCTTCCAGGAAYCGCTGGAAGAGCTGGGTTTTCAGCACGTTCCTCAGAAAGGCCATCGGCCTCCCCTTCGATGCCACGTCCCCTACGAACTTTTCTTCGTCGAACAACCGCCTCCCCGAGTTTTCCAGGAGCGAATCCTGGTAGTGTGCAAAGGTCGCCACGACGAATCGGAGAAAGGCGCCTCGGATTCCGGCGACCGAAAAGCCCTCCGGCTCGGCCATGTCCAGCAGGTTGCCCTGGTTCATTGCATAGTGGCTCCTGGAYAAAATAATGTCGGCCTTTTTGTTCTTGGCGAACCTCGGCTTCTTGATGGGGCTCGCCACCGGCGGCCTCTTGCCCGGGCTCGCACGGAAGAGCGGCCGGGGTTTCTTCTTCCCGTCGGAGCCGYCSCCCGTGCGGTTGCCCCGGTTCGACGAGCTCCCGCCTCCGCTGGCCGTCCGATCCGCTYCGCCSCCACCGTAGGCCAGCTCGCTCGCGGCGAACAATGCTTCCCGAACAAAGGCGTCTKCTCCCAGGCCGGTCATCGTCGTCATGTGCGCGTACCTGGGGCGTTGCTCGTTGGGGACCAGGAGGTCCTTGTCCGAGCCGGCCATGATGCATCCCTTGATKCCGCTGTTCGGAATGACGTAGACGGATCCCCCCGCCTCTTCGAGGGACGCCGCGAGCTTCTGGGCGTCTGGCTCGGGCATCCTCGGCAGGGGGTTCCTTCCGATGTGGATCGTGTCGAGGTCCAGGTCCACGAAGATCGCGTCGGCGGGCCTGTCCGCCACGTCGACCGCTTTGAAATAATCGGAGCTCAGCCCTATGAAATAAGGAATCGGGGCATCCAGAATGTCCATCATCTTCAGCGGAGCAACGGGCTTTGTTGATTCCAAGGAAAATGTTGTTGAAAAAAAAAGGGAAGAAACAAACGCAGCAAGGAGAAAAAAAAACAATCAGAAAGGCAATCCCCCGATGCGCAAGCAAACGCATACACACACACACACACAACCCAATCCAAAAAGGCCGCGGTCCACTCACGATGTAGAGCCCGACCCACCGAAAGGGAAAGATGGCGCTCAGCAGGGCCTCGGCGACGGGCGTCAGCAGGCTGTGGTGCCTGGACAAGAGGACCACCCTGGACTCCTGCAGCAGGTAGCCCAGGACGACGAGGATGTTGCCCACGCTCAGCGCCGCAAAGAGCGGCCGGTAGGAAAAGTCGGCCATGGGCAGCTCGTTGGGAGGGGGRCGCTGTATCCGGACCACCGGGTGGTGGATGCTWCCRCCGGCGCTTGTCCTGCTCCGTCCCCCCYGAGAAAAGGAAAAGTCCACCCCTGCGCAGCCCCTGGGCGGGAGCGGGACCTCCATGACGAAATTGGAAAGGTACCGCTCGATGGGGAGCGGGGCGGCSACCAGGGATATCCGGTAGAGCTCTAGGAGTGCGGTCCGAAAGAGGTCGAAAAAGGCATAGTGCGAAACCAGGACCAGGCACTTTGGAAAATAGTACACCTCCGGAGCGTCCTTTCCGGTGTGGCTGGTGTTGCTGGTGTTGCCTGTCTCTAGGAGTGCGGTCCGAAAGAGGTCGAAAAAGGCATAGTGCGAAACCAGGACCAGGCACTTTGGAAAATAGTACACCTCCGGAGCGTCCTTTCCGGTGTGGCTGTTGCTGGTGTTGCTGTTGCTGCTGTTGCCTGTGCTGCTGCTGCTTTCGCTTCCGGCCCCGCC